GCGGTCGACATGGGCCGGTTGTAACCGTTCGCCCTTGGGATGCAAGCGAATGATCCGGCGAAATCTTGCGGTGCTGTAAACGAAATAAAACGGGGTGTCGAAATAACTCACTCGATCATTTAAAAAGGCAACAATATACAAGGCTTAATTTATTATTGGAAAAGGCGCCAGTCACGAATGTGACGCCTGATTATATCTATTACATTCAATAAATCGATGATTACAGTTATTGGGACTTCAACACGCAATTGACATATAAGTTTACTCCGGTACAATGTACACACGCGATTAGGCCACCTCGGCTAGAGCGGCAGACACGGCGGTCGTGAGTTTGGGCTACGTGGGGACGATGTCGAGAGAGATCGAGCGTAACGAATAAAGATATGTATGGCGCATTACGCGAGAGAGATATAGGCGACTTACATTCGTTGACAATGTTGGTTGGTGGATGATTCAGGCCGAATGTGACTGCGAAGAAGCTAGGGCCAACGAGAGGAGAGCCAGGTCACACAGTTCCTCCAGGAGTAGCTCGTACGGAAACACACTCGCACTTGACGCAGAACTAGGCTATAATATACGCGTCGCTACGCACGGACCAGCACAGAGTGATCCCGCTATCTCTCACACGTAGACCCGTCAGTCAGATCAGGCCTCCCTCCTATGACAGCTTTTCGTCTGCTCTCTCATTAGGCGCGCGAATCTTACGCACAGGTCGCGCGTCTCTCGCTACAAATTCGGCGCGTTGTGAACGGCGCCGATCCAAGTTACATCGGGCTCGCGATAATCATACGGCTCTCTCGACACGGGTCAGGATTAGGACACAAGGAAGGAATACCGCCGGACTCTGTACTGGCGTCCACTTCCTTACACGGTGTACTGGTGGACGGACGGGATCTCCGACCTCCAGCGGGCTTGCCTGCGGGCACGCAGACTTGCGCAGCGGGCCCATGGACGGTCAAACGAGGACGTTCGTCAGGCTGAGTTCGCCGTCGCGAGACACCAACTGCGGGCGGCCATCAGGGCTAGCAAGCGCCGGTGCTGGAGTCGCCTTTGCAAGGAGGTCGACCGTGACGCTTGGAGCAGACCGTACGAAACGGTCATGTCGCGTCTGAGGGGTCCAAGAGCCAAACCACCAGGCTCCCCGTCCCTGGTGCGGCGTGCGGTCGCCACGCTGTTCCCGGTGGCCGCGAAGGCGCTGTATCCGCCTCCGCCGCCCTCTGGCGACGCGAAGGACATTCCAGACGTCACTCTGCAGGAGCTCCGGAGAGCCAGCGAAAGAATCAAAAGACACTCAGCGCCCGGACCCGACGGAGTACCAAATGTGGCACTCAAAGTCGCCATCGCAGCGTGTCCGGACCTGTTCACCCAGGTCTACACGGCCTGCCTGAGAACCGAGGTCTTCCCGAAGTGCTGGAAGCAGCAGAGGCTCGTGCTGCTGCCAAAGCCAGGAAAGCCGCCCGCAGAGCCGTCATCCTACCATCCACTGTGTATGCTTGACACCACCGGCAAGGTTCTTGAGAGAATTATCTGCAACCGCCTCACGACCATCACGGAGAGCCCAGGCGGCCTCTCAGACCAGCAATATGGCTTCCAGCGGGGGCGATCCACGGTCGATGCCATCCAGACCGTTGTCTCCACCGCCAGGAAAGCGCTCAAAGGAAACCGCTGGCTCGGTGGAACGATAGAGTACTGTGCGGTCGTGACCCTGGATGTCAAAAACGCGTTCAACTCGGCACAGTGGAACAACATCCTCACCGCTCTGTGCCGAATACACACGCCAGAGTACCTGATGAGAATCATCAACAGCTATTTCCAGGCAAGAGTCCTCAACTACAGCACGGACGACGGGCCGGAGTCCTGTAGCGTCGCAGCGGGTGTTCCACAAGGATCGGTCCTCGGTCCTACACTGTGGAATGTAATGTACGACGCCATCCTGCAGCTCGAGTTCTGGCGCGGGGTACAAATAGTCGGTTTTGTGGACAACATCGCATTGGTTGGAGTGGCCAAGCACCTGTGGCTGTTGGAAAACCAGCTAGACGCTGCCGTCAGCCAGGCACGTGAGGCGCTTGGAGATCTTAGCCTGGAAACGGCCGACCATAAGACAGAGGTCCTGCTGATCACCAAAAGGCGGCAGATGGAGTCCATCACCATCAAGGTGGGTGACTGCTATGTCAGTTCGTTCCTCCACATCCGATACCTGGGCCTCTACATGGACGCCCGCCTCAATTTCAAGGCCCACTTAAAAATGGTCAGCGAGAGAGCATCGAACGTGGCGAGGGCCCTCGCACGAATCATGCCCAACATTGGAGGCCCCAGGAGCAGCAGGAGAAAGCTCTACGCCAGCGTCATGGACTCGATCCTGCTGTACGGCGCCCCTATATGGATCTGTGCAACGGAGACACAGGCCCACTTTCGCCAAGCAGAGTCAATACACCAGCGAGCGTGCCTGCGCGTGATCAGTGGCCGTCCTCATGTCTCATACGAGGCAACGTACGTCTTGGCCAGTATACCATCTCTGGCCCTCCTAGCAGATGAGCGCTCGTGGATCTACCTACGCCGCATAGAGGACGCCAAAGAAGAAGAACGCCTCGAGACGTTGAGAAAATGGCAGGAGCAATGGGACCGGTCGACAAAAGGCCGCTGGACCCACAGGCTCATTCCGAACATCAGAGAGTGGGTTGAGAGGAAACATGGAAAAGTGAATTACCATCTCACACAACTCCTGTCCGGGCATGGCTATTTCAGGCGCCACAGCCAGCGCTACGACAACACCATCAACGCACAGTGCCCGGCCTATCCCCACATGGTGGAAGACGCAGAGCATGTGTTATTCCACTGCCGGCGGTTCGACGAGGAAAGAAGAAGACTATATGTCCTCTGCCAAGAAGAAATGACGCCCGAGAACATCATCGGACTCATGCTTACGAGCGAACCCAACTGAGGAAATGGCCAGAAGAAGATGACCACACGATGCAGTAGGAAGCAGACGGTGTACTAACCAGCCATCGGAAAGAGCAAACTGCTAAATCTTACCTCCCAGCGAAGTAATGCCTAACGGCGGTCCCGCGGAAAAAAAAAAAAACAACAACAAGGTAACAAGAAAGGAGAAGATGGATCGTACATAAATAATGTAGAAAGCAAGAAAAATTATTACATTGTCAAAAAATAATGTAAAAACTTTTTTATTGTAACTACACTCGGCAACAAAATTATCGCAACAAAAAAATTCATCGAAATTTTGTCGATTTTCAAATGCTTCTATCTTGGGCTAGATTTATCGTATCGACACGCTTTTTTTTTTAATTTCTTGGAAATTTTGTCCTCTTTAAATCCATATAAATTAAGATAAGATTTGAGTTAATGTTGAGTTACCAGTAGTATTTGAGCGTGACCCTAAAAATTACTGAAAAAAAATGACTGTTTGAACGTGTACCAGTACCACAGTGATTTTTTTATCGAAATCTAANTTTAAAAAAAAAAATAACTTTCGTTCGACTCTATTACGAATGATGATCTGGAAATCGTAAACAGGCAAAAGGCTTGATTGACTTCAGAAATGAGGTGTGATATAATATATATACCTCTCATTGAAAACAAGTATCGTTTACGTCTCGTTCACCGTAAACTCCATTGAAATGTACTCTATTGAAATACTGAGCTAATTAAATGCGATTCAAGAGCAATGTGTCTTTTCATTTGCGATTTTTTGTAAATATACTTTTAGTCAGTCAAGTAGTAGTAACATTCAAACTCCGTCGTTCATCAACATTTCAAAGGCGTATTTACTTTTCAGAATAACAAGTAGTACTAAAACAGTCATTAATTATCCTCGTAACAAAAATACAAAACGTTCGAAGAGATGAATTTTGTAACTTACCAAATGGGAGGTGTTAATCCGGGAAAATTGCACTGAGCTTCGAAGAAATCTTAAATCACCCACAAAAGATCACACTGTTATAGCCGGTTATATCACACTTAGTAGTAGCACAAGCACAAAGAAACTGAAATATCGATACGAGAAAAAAACAAAAAAAAAAAAAAAAAAAAAAAAAAACCACTCTCGTTCTCTGGCAACCTCAGTCCTCGCAAAATAACACAGCTCGTGAACTACTAGCAAATGCAGATCACACGTGGCAACCTACTCGCACTACTCTCGTCGTTGAGCTTACTCAGCCAACCCTCCTGACACGTTGCGGTATAGCACGAACAACGTCGACTCGTTTGCTGATACTGGTCTAACATAGCCTCGCACTCTCCTTTTTGCACTAGACTCTCGATCTTGCACTCTACTTGTGCACTTCACTGAGCACCAAACTCGTTTTTTCTTGCTGTACCTCAACGCGTACTTTGTAGCCTCGGGACTACGAGTCGCGCGGTAACAGTTAATAGCATCGTCACACGTGTCGAGACTTGCCTTACTGATCGTTGTTCTGCTCTACTGCTGCCGCTGCCGCAGCTCCTGCCATGGTTGCGACTTGTCACTGCGTGGCTCGTTCAGTCGATAACTCGGACATGCCCCCTATCCTGTTGTGGCGCGTGGAAGTTAGATGCACTTAGCTCTTCCTTCACGCTGTATAGTCGGTCGCTCGTAACTCGCATGCATACACGCGGCATTCACACGTAGATGACTCACGTTTGTCGCCAGTGACATCTTAACCATTCAAGACCTTGAATGATTCTGTGATAGTTTAAAAAACGACATTCAAAACCATGCATCGGAGGGTTATTTCCTCTACATTTTTGTAAACACTGGTAATGAAAATTAATAATTTTGACCCTCAAATTATCCTTCGTTCATATTTATAAATTCAGGAAGCATATGGTATAAAAATTTTTAATAACAACTACAAGAAAAATTAATTGTGAAAATCAACAAAAACGAAGCACTTATCTTCAGGCTTAAACTATTTGATATTATTTTTAGATCATAAACTAGTAATCCATAAGTTTGGAGCAAGATATTTTAAAATCTAGTAAACAGTTCTAGTCTTATTTCTTACCTCTCCAGATTGAGCTATTTCCATAAGTGATAAAAAGTAATATCCTATTGTTCTGTCCCAAAGCATACCTTTCAACGAAACTTCCAAAAGAAGTCCACCTTTTAAATCATTTGTTTCACTAAAAATTCAAAAAAGTAATATGATCTATAAGTATTTTAGTTAAAACGATTAGAAATAATGTAATTGTTCAAATAATAAAAGTTGCGGACTTAGCGCTGGTTTGAGATAAGAGCTTGGTGGGGCAAAGACGAGCGAAATTCTCACGGCTTTTGTTGCTGTACGTAGAATTTTTGTTCAGTTGCTAATAATCACTCAGCTAAGTCGTTAGTAGAGCCTTTTCGCCCTGGCCTGCCAAGCTCTTATATCACTTCAGCGTCAACGCTTTGGTATCCAACCAATTTACATAATATCTTGCCAAGTTAAAAGACAAAAGTTTTAATTCAATAGATATAGATTGTGGTTTTTTTCTGTTAAACGGTGTGTACGAATTTTTTATCGCCCTGGATTCAACTCCACTGCCTAGCACGGTAACAGTTATTATCCGAGCAAACGTGATATTTTTCTGTATTACTGAAATTTTAAGCCCCTGATTGGTTCAAAGAGAGCTTAAATTTGGAAGAAAATTTTATTTCGTTTTCTAGTAGGATTTTTCGTCTCCTTTAAATGAATTTTTCAACGCTTCAAAATTATAATCATTCTCTGAGCTGTTTCCATGAGCCTTTTTTGTATATTTTGCTTGTTAAATTTTTTCTTCGATTGTGTTTGCTGGCGTTTTACGTTTTTGCAAAATGCCCCTCATTTGTCGAAACATTCTGAACGAATTGTTGAAACAACATTACTAGAGTCACGCACACTTTTCCAGAACATCAATAGCCTCAAACACAATCTTGGGCAAGTCATTCGAACTCATAGGTCACTTTTAATCCCTCGATTCATCATTTCAAGTACTCAAGTACATCAATTTAAGCACTAAGGCCGATTTTAGTAGTGCTGAAAGTAAGGTTAGTTTTGTCAAAAAATACACTTGTTGCAAGGTCCCTTACATCATTTTTCACCCCGCCCCTCTTGCTTCTCGTAACAGATGGTGTGAAGATATTGCTGCTTTTTAGCGTTGTCGTCTAAGTCGTCTTGGGTTTCTTCTTTATCCCGGGTCTGGACGATGTTTGCACCTCCTTTGCCACTGTGTTCTGGGGAGGGAGATGCTCCAACCCGTCCAGCGCCGTGCAGCAACTCTGGAGGATAAGAGGCGCTTTCGTCAGTCTATCCTTTGTGGCTTGTGGACGTTATACCTCGGCATCGCGTATTCCATGATATCGTTGATCTTATCACCGAGCCACTTAAGTGCATGTGTGTTTTTTTTTCTACTCCACCCAATTCGGACACTCACCGGTATCCGCCGTTAGGCATTGCTTCGGTGAGGCCGGGGTTAGTTGAGCATTTCTGCTCCTTCTGTTAGTCGTTGTTTTCCATACATCCCCCATCCGTCGCATAGTGATATGTGAAGATTAGGGGTTCAGGAACTCATCTTTTTTCTACTTGGTGAACCTCCGATCCTGCGCGATGCCATCGTCGATTGTCGTATCACCCTTTTTCAGAGCCGTCTGCTGCGTGGTCACACTTTGCTGGCATCTCCTCCATCTATTGCCGGCCTTGTGAGTCCTCGCCTCGGGCTCCTACTTATGGTTATCCTATCGCTTCCAGCTGGTACAGTGATCGGGGTTTTTTTATCGCTTCGGAGGCTGATGACATAGCCCGGATCTTCTTTTTGAGTGGTACCCGCTCCACCTCGGGCACTGGCTCGACCACACCAGGCGAAAAAACGAACCTCGAAAATTCGCCAAGTGGGGATCGAACCCACGCCCTACGGCACACCTTGTATCAGCAGGCAAGAACTATACCCACTGAGCCAAGGAGGCCGATCGATGTGTGTGTGTGTGATTAGTCGCAGCGGTGGCGAGTTCATTGTATGTGCCCGCAGATCCTTCCTAGCCCGTAGAGGCTTTTCAATTTATGTTCCCAGAGGGTAAAAGAAAGGGAAATGCAGAAATCATACTCTCTCAAACCATGAAACACACATTGCACATTAACAATAACGACTACTAACAAGGAGAGCCTTTCATCTGCGGGTCACAGATCCTTACCAAACTTGTTTGGGGGTCTTTTTCTACATGATAATGAAGCCCCCTATAGTTATTTTATTCCAATGGGCCCTGAAAAGAGTTAAAGAGCAGAAAAAAGTATTAAATATAATATAATGTTAAAAAATACCACTTATTGTTATCAGGCCTTGTTCAAGTCTAACTCTCTCAAAAATATTTGTACATGAACTTTTATCAATTTTAAACACTTTTGCGAAACAATAAACAATTAAACTCCATTGGTTTGCTGTGTAAGTTTTAAAGTGCGCACCATTTTGAGCTCAAATTAACGTAGGAAGGTCTCGCAAAACGCACCCTGACAATGACACACAGCGTCTTGAAAATGCAGCTACTGCCAAGAAAAGTTCGATCATCGTCAAGTTCAAAAATCTGGTAGTACGTAAACAAGTCCTAGAGGTGATGCGTGAGAAGGGCGCTACACCGTACTGCTATACTTTCAGTGGTGCCGAAAAGCTACCTATCCGAGCTTACGAGCTTGCAAGCCCAGCCGTCTTCGCGTTGAAGAAGAACGCAAGGGTTATAGCGCAAAAGAAAGGTTATCGCTTTGTGTGGATTCATGAAGGAGGTATCCGTATTCACAAGAACGAGCTATCGCCAGTAATCAGCATCGTCACCGAGTCCAATCTTAAGCAGATCGTTTGAAATTTTGCGCGTGACGAGCCATCACCCTCACTAAATCGTACCTGTCCAAATGTTAATTTTAGATTTAATAATAATAATAATAATAATAATAAACCTCGAATTGTTCAAATAAATGTCTTTTCTATCAAAGATCGCATTGAGTTCTTGGCAAACTTTCGAGATGAATCAAATTTTTACGTGCTATCTATCTCAGAGATATGGTATACTCCAAATATCCACGGTAAATTCTCTGGCTACAACTTCGTTCGTGCTGATCGGGGCTTACAGAGCCAAAGCGAATCCAATGCACACAATGGACCGAGGAAACTTAAGAGTAAAAAAAATTCGACGAATACATGTTGGGCCGCCCTGACGAACCGTCACCTCGCCGAGCATATTATTAGTTATAAAAATAGTTATTGATTATTGTATTTCGATTCTGATTTCATGTGAGCGCCAAGCGTGTAAAGATAGAACGTAAATATGCGTATACGTTGAGACGCGAGAGCGTACATATGAACAGAGCAGGGAGTTGAAGATTTGCTTTGAGAGCGAACGGAGCTCGAGTGTGCGAGTTGAGCGTGACATTCTCGGAGATGTCTACGTCGGATTGACGAGTACCGCGCGGGTAGTAATATCCTACGTCGCTCGAGTGAAGAGTGCGAGTGCTGGTACGAGTCGACCCGAGTGCGCGAGAGAGGACTAGTGGATCCAATGGCCGAGCAGACCACAAGGACAAGCAAGAGTGAAACTGGAACAGGAGAAGATCTCGATACCATGTGGAATGTTCGGCGGCCCAGCTCTTGGTTGTTGCATTTGTGAGTCGTACGGGCCGACGTGACCACCATGGCTACGAACGTCGCATCTGCCGTCGACCGGGTATTCGGAAACTCTCTGAGGCCGTGTATTATGTTTATTGCATATGAATAAACTTGGTAGTCGTTATTGTGAATGTTGAGTGTTTGTTTCTTGGTGAGAATGAGTGTGAATCCCTGTATTCCCCTTTCTTTCACTTTCTAGGAATATACACTGGAAAAACCTCTACGGGCTAGGACGGACCTGCAAAGCCAAGGGACACACGTCGGGCTGCTCGGACTCTTTCGGCCTCGACTTATCATCGTCCCCATGGCTGGCGCTTCGCGGACTTTTTCGAATTTTTGTCTGACGAATCGGAGAACTACAGCGTGTAACGTTGTGCCCTTGGCAAACGTCATCACGTCGGCTACGAGGAGATTAACACTGAATAATACAAAATTTGAAATATCCGAGTTCTATTTTTGCAGGTACTTTAGCTACGCGAGGTGACAGCGGAGCCGTCACTGTGGCGTTCGGACGTAAATACTGCAATGCTTACGTCCGAAGTAGACCGTGTAGCGAGGCTCGCTTTGACGCGTTTACGGCAATACTACGAGACGCGTGCCAAAAATCTTCGCGACTGGCGTGAACTAGCTGACAACACGAGACACGTGTTGTGCGAACGCCATAGAGGGTGGAGCTTTTTCGTACGCGAACGTTATGCTGTCTTTTCCCTGTATTTTTGCGAAGAGTTTATTGAGTGTGTGGAGAGTTGTGTTGAGTGAGTTTAAGGTGTACTTTTGGCATGAGTTTTATGTGGAAGTGTGTATATTGATTGGTAAAGTTGGTGGCTGTAAAGTCGAGTGTGAATGCTGAGGACCCGTGCAGTGCACCAAATACTCCAACCGATTACGACCGAGCAAACGACAAACTTGGCCCGTCCCCTTTTACGTCCGTGGCCCAACAGACGAGACGCAAGACGTGCAGTACAACATCTTGTAACCCCGGCGACGTTTACGACACGACCGTGCGGTCATGAGCCCCGTTGTGCGAGGCAGAACAAGAGTAAATTTACAGCCTACTTTGTGCCCCGTACGACCCCTCCGACGGCAACGCAACTCGCGTACGCGACCCAGGGCGAATGTGTATGTGGGAGCCTCGACTGAGTGTGTGAGATAGAATCGTTACTACTCAATAAGGTTCTTTGTAATTCAAACTATATCTTTTTGTGTTGTTATTCGATTATCCCCCATATTATTGCTTTTCCTCTCTCTCGCGAGTTCTTCGTTTTACAGGTGTTTTTCTAGGTGCAGAGCAGCAGCCCAACGGAGTCCCTGCTCCATTAACCGTCGGCGTCTCCTCTCGGAGACAAACCGTGCTCGAGACCCTGAAAGTCGAGAGTCTTTTTTGTGCCCTCGTGTTTTTTTTCCATTTTTAGCTAGCCGGACCCTGGTCTTGATCTTCACCACAGAATGCTGTGCCATCATCGGAGCCCTAGAACACATTGCGTTATCGGACGGAGAGAGGTTCATGATCGTCTCGGATTTTCTATGCGCACTACTTGGAGTTGGTTCACTCCAGACACGCAGCAACACAATGGAACAAATTCCGGAAATAAAAAGAGAAATCGCCGCACTCTTAAACAGAATTCGAGAGAAGGAGATCGAGCTGCTGGAGATTCCGTCACACATAGGCCTTGAGGGCAACGAAGAGGTGGACGCACTAACGAGGGTGGCTACCCTAAAAGAAAACCCCCCGAGCATCCTCTGTTCAGTACTTGGACCTGGCGGCCGAATTTTCGAAGGTAGCAAATAACAACACCGATGCGAAGAACAAGTTGGATGGCCGCGAAAAAGGCAGGATTTACTTTGAATTTTTCTGCAACGACCGGGCGCGATTCGATACGCCAGTGTAAATATCACCGTCGCGCGTGTTTTCTTGTACGTTGATACTGATAAACATTTATTATCGTTTGACATTTTATTTTTTTCTCTCGATATTATTCAATACTCAAAAAGAAACTAAGAATATTTAAACCAACGTGTATATTCACTGATTGATGCACGTTCAATCATGATTTTCGCAGCAACCCGCGGACGACTATGTGCAGGTTTAGGCAGGAAAATTGTGCAACAGAAAATTCAGAATACTGAACTAAATACTGAACTAAATATTTAGAAGTAACACCACTCTAGGATTTTCAAAAAATCGTTTTTTTTTGCATAAAAAGCTCCCTTAGGGTGTGTAGAATGATACCAAATTAGTTTTATAGGGGAGACGAAGTTATAAGATGCTTAATTTTCAATTTGAGTGAAAGGGTTTTTACGAACATATTTTCGTAAACACTGTTGCTAAAATTTTATTTAAGTACATTATCGTACGAGTGAAAAGTGGCTTTTAATATGAAAAACAACCTGTAGAGGTCGCAATTTTTTCTCCAATATTATGAATTTTCAGTTGCCAACTTAGTAGTTATAACGGATTTTTCAGAGTAGTACGTGTTTGAAAATTATCTAAAAATTATACTCTCGTAATTCGTGTGATATACTGTGATAATGAGTAACAAAAAACGCTCTTACCAGAGGGAAAAAGGCTCTCATGGAGACAGCGGGTTTAATAAAAGACGCAAAATCGGAACCCGAAGACCACTGAATAGATATGAGTTGGAAACCCCGAGTTTGGGCAACAGCTTTAGTACGTCAGCCAAGAAGATTTTAGCAGCCCAATCAGATGATATTAAAATAGATGATAGCTTTGGATACAGAATTTTGAGTTTTTTATCAGTATTTAATACTATATCAAACATCGTTATCTGTAAGAAATGCAAGTCTCATATAAAATTCACCGAATCATCCGAGCGAGGCTTGAGTTTCAAACTTGTGATTTCTTGTAATAATTGTATCGGTATTGGAATTCCCAGCTGCCCTTTCATCAAAAAATTATACGATATTAATCGAAGATTAGTACTGGCTATGCGATTACTCGGTGTAGGCCTTAATGGAATTATCAAATTCTGTGCCGTCATGGATCTACCGCGGCCGATCTTTCAATCATTTTATGACAAGATTGTGAAAAAAATCGCTGAAGGAGCCGAAGTTGTAGCTGAGTCAAGTATGAGTTTAGCAGCTGAAAAAGAGAAGAAATTGACGGTAACCAATGTTGGTTTTGATGAGAACGATCTGGAGACCATACAAATATCCAGTGACAAAAGCATAACAGTGTTCGGCGATGCATCTTTTATGGGCTGAGTTTTGTGGGACTTTTTTTTAGACCTTCATATCAGTTCTATTATTCAATATGTTCTCAAAAACATTGATAACTTTTTTTTATATCTTGCTTTTTTCACGACTGTTGGCATACAAACTTTTTTATATCTCTAATCAAAATTTCACAAAACTCAGCCCATAAGGGATACTTTTCAAAAGATTTTAAGACCTATCAGGAACTCCCACCTCAACTTTTTTCACATTTTTTAGGGCTCAAAGATGTCAATTTTATGTTGAAAATGTAGATTGACATAAAAATGTGGTTTATATAAAAAATAAATGACAAAGAGGAGTGAATTGGTGTTTGACTCCCCTTAACTTTAAGACCTTGTTTGAAATTTTGTTCTAAATGCTATAGAAGTCGAGAAAACTTTCCACCACTCAAAAAATTGCGAATTTGTAAAATTGTAATATCTTCGTTATTTTGTGACTAAAACCAATAAAAAAAATTTTCTTTATAGTTCTTTGTATGTATTATTAGTCCTCAAAGCCTCAAATTAAAATATTCATCGTGGCCCCCACAAAAAATTCATAAATTTTAGCAATTTTCCAAAATCCTAAAGTGGTGCTACGCCTTAAATACTGAACTAAATACTACTTTGAGAATACTGAATCCAAAGTCAAATGACCGCTTTGGAGTCATTTTCAAGATGTTTTGAAGGTCAAACTTGATAAATTCGATAACCATCCTTAACTTTTGATCAGTTTGTTGTATGAAAAATCTAACACCAGATTCAGAAAGTTCATTTAATTTTGCGTCGAATAAGCTTATTCGCAGATTTAACCTTTGATAGAGAATATCTATGGAGGACTTGACCGCAGATTTTGTTGTTAGACTTAATCTCTATAGCGATTAGCGAACTTAGTCTGTGGACTGGTTATCTGACTCAGACTCGACACTCACTACCGAACTCAGTCCTGTGAACGAAGATATAATAGTCACTTGCCGCAGTTGCCTTGTACACGGAAACATATTCCGGTGCAAGACTCCGACGTACGAGTGCCGATATCTCTTTTTTTCCTTCTTGTCATCGATCTCCTTGTTTGAGTACCAACTTGAGCGGATATCTTTTTGACTCTCACCGCGAGCAAGAGTGTCTGAGTGAAAGTATTGCGCAACTCGAGTCTCGTGACTTATAGATCAAAGACCTGCCTATGCAAGCTCAATTTGCGGTTCGAACGAGTAGTTTACGAAGAGAATGAGTATCGATGACTTCATTATACTGTTGCGTGGCCTCTCCCGACATAAGCCCTCCTCGCGAGATTCGAGGCAACGTTAACCTAACTCTTTGACATAATAATTTTCTTATCGACGTACGAACCATCACTGCCCAGAATGCTACTGTGCATTTTTCATGATTCTACACATTAATAGGGAATCGAATCCACTTCGACGGTCGACCAGAAGTATCGCTACCATACGTTATCTGCGCGAACTTGAATGCATTGACAGCCCCCTACAGCCATCAGAAGTGGAACTTTTTCAAAATTAGTTAACTGAAAACATCAAAATATAAATCTTGAAAAATTAAAACGCAAACATTTAACATAATGTCTTATATCGTCAAGTTTCATATAGAAAAGTAAACATTATATATTAACAATATACTCACAACAGAAAATCTTGTTCCCAGCATGGATTTGATCCTTTCAAAGGTACAGTAGATGATTTAACGTTTTGTAGTTTCAACGTTACATAAGTATTATACTCTTGAGCTAAATGAATTGCATAAAAAATTTAATTTAATATCGCATAATTGCATGATTTTTTGTCATAATGTATATGATCACTTTTTTAATGAAAAATGATATTGTCATATGACAATTAAGATTTCCTCGCATTTAAACTCTATATTTTCAATTATATCTTTAAATTCTTTTTGAGACTTTTGTCTCGAAAAAAAGTTTTGACAACTAGTAGTAGTTTTGACATGTTTTTTCAAACGAAATTTGTTACGTAACTCATCTTTGGTTTGTAAAATCATACTTGGAGTAGTTGAAAAGCAGTCTTTCAAATTACAATTAATACTTGATGTTAATTTAATCTCAGATATCATGAAAAATTGAAAACAATTCTTAATCAAACTAGGTTTGATATATAATTTGAAATTAATTCTTAATTCATGTTGGTTTAATTTTGAACAATTCAGCTTGTTGCTTTCGATGTCAGACTTGTCCCAAAAAATTGTAGAAAAATTGGGGCTTTTTATGACCCTTTTTCAGAGGCCCAAAGTTGGCCATTCTAGCGTTTTTCCGAAATTTATGAAAAATCGCAAATATTCAAATAATTACTAAATTAGTGTAGAATTACTCAAAAATAAAAGGAATATTAGTTTTTTTGTTGGTAATTCTCCAAATTTTCAGAAAAAATGTATTCGAAAGTGATTAGAGCAACCTGGGAGGTTACAGAGCGGAAAAAATTTGAAAAAAAAACACAAAATGTAATTGAGTTCGAACCAGACTTTTTTTCCAAAACTATGTAATAAGCTTTCTGAAGATGTCAACTACTGCCTAATGAAGTTTTGTAATGGGTCTTAATGTGTAACGCAATGTAGACAACAATGTGTGTTTAAAACGTGCATAAAAGGTTGAAATAGGCCAAAAATGCGTAAAATTACCAAAAAAAGCCTCTGAAAAAGTGTCATAGAAAGCCCCAATTTTTCTAAAAGTTTTCGTAAGACAAACCTGATATCGAAAACAACAAATTTATCATATTTGCAGAAAAAAATTTTTTTGGTCATTTGATTTCACAAAGAATCAGCTATATATACAGAAATATCTGTATTGAATTTATTATAATATTTATTAATTAAAAATTCTTTTCAGAAAAGAAATAGTTATTAACATTTTTTGTAATCCCCCTGGTGTGATGTAAGGGCCAACGAGTCACAAAGCTCACAAAAAGCTTTAATACTTAGCCACATTGATCTATCGATTAATGCTATACATACCGCTTAAATTTGATTTTTCTTAAACTTGAATTATTTATGGAGATAATCGGGACCTGCCCCATTTTTGCCTTTTTAATGATAGTATTTAATATTTCACTTTTAACTTTTTTTTTAAACATCAGAAAGAGACTTTTTAGCGCAGTGTGTTACTGTTCGAGAAATCTCCCGAACAGTGTTTATCAACTGCCGTGGGCGCGCTCAAACTCACGTGTAGTGTCGGGCCACGCGAGTTTATTGCTGCGCACTCAGAGATGGCGTGGCTTCTCGTGCCTGCCGCAGATCTACTATCCGTGCGTAGTTTGCGATGGACACGAGAGTTTTTGCTCATTGTACATCTCGCGCTCCTCCAGTTATCTCACCCGATTTGCTCGATTCACCCTCGCCTCTCGCGTGTGACTCGTGCACCAAAGTGCGACCACCAAAAGAAAGTCAGCTCATCCATACGGCTATCCACCAACTTCGACTGCTCAATCGGTCCACATCTGCTGCTCTCAAGCCAGGTGGGATAAGAACTTCAACATCGGCCACTCATCGACGTCTGCTCACTCGACTCATCAGATCCAGCTCATCTCAACGTATAACACCAGGTAAAGAACCTACACGGGTTGCTGAAGAAGACCAATAATGCCTTCTTCAGGCCCTGTAGAGTCTCCTCATTCACTGACGCAATTGTGCAAGCACTGGCGCTTGCAAAGTACGGAGTCACTGCGAGGAGAATCGAGGTTACACTCAGCACCTCTCACTTCCGGCAGCTGATTCAGCGGACGAGGGGATTAATATAACCCTGTTTCGCGTACTGCTCCGAATGCTCAGTCTAGTGAATCCTCAGTCCTCCGAATGCTCAATCTAGTGAATCCTCAGTCTAGTGCTCCGCATACGTTGACGTCTCAGTGCTCTCATGAATCAATGTGGATTAATATAATTCCTTAAACTGTTGTCCTTTTTCATTTATATGCATTCAAATTTATGACGCTATTGTGAAGTATTAATAAAATACTAATGTGCTACGACTTCTCACTGTAACTCTCAATTAAACTCAACCAAGTGAACAATTTTAATTAATATTATTAAAGTGATGAAGTGTGAAAATGAAGAAAATTGTTAAATAACAAAATCTTTTGCATTCAAGAAGTCATTGTGCGATCTACCCATGCAACCATCCTTTTAATGAGTAATTGAGACACCTAATTCTCAAACAGTTACGTATAACGTACTGCAACGAATATTGTAGTGAATTTATTAAATTTATCTTATGAAAGACTTGTATAATAGAATGAGGAGCGTGAAGGGTGGGTAGCTGCTCTCATCTTCCATACTTGCCATTCGGAGCGCGACATAAGTTCCTCGATATTTAAACAATTTTCTTTTTGTGTGCCTTGTTATAAGCGTAAAACATGCAGAGACCATGGCTGACTTGCTCAATGCGCTTATGAAAGGTGAAAGAATTCCGCAATAAGTCACTAGGAGGGTAAGAACAAAACTGAATCTTTGTGCACAAAATTCGAGTTTTGATGTTAAATATGACTGCTGTTTCAATGTAAAATCGAACTAGCAAGGGCACTGGCTCACTTTCTTTCGGAAAAAATAAATCAGCTAGACATCTAGCTGTCACACCTACTTCTCGATCGCCTTTCTCGGATTTTCCTTTCTCAGACATCAAGTAAATTGTCACCTTTTTTGGTATATGTTCGGTAACACGATACATCAGGGATCTTGAACGCACAATTTGGAGAGTTTCAAGCGCATCGACGCCAACATGGGAGCCCAACTAATCCTTGTTTCAAGCAGAGTGGGCACTGTTTACTAAAAAAGCCGTACCATTGACATCGAGACCTTGCTCACTCCAAGTGGTACTTTGAAAACCAAGGCGAGGCGAACAGTTCTTAATTGTCCCTTGACCATGAGCGATGATACGGCTAAGTACCTCTACCCACGCTAACTTCACTTTTACTTTGCCAATTCATTTTAGTTTAACTGCACCGTTTCTAATTAAAGTATCTCAAGGAATGTCGATGGAATTTTCGAACCACTTCCTTCAAACAAAATAACGATCAAATTCAGGATACAAAATAACTAACTGTTGGACAACTTATCGCGAAACATAGTTATTTGCAACGTTACACCTCGAATTTGAGAAAATATAATCTTATAGTCCGTTAAAAAATTTCAATCTATTTATAAAAAAAACTCCACTCATGTCATGGAAGAGACGTTATCGTTCCTTCTTGTAGCTATTGCGTGAAGCGTAAAAATTCGAAAATTTGAATAAAATAAAAGCATTTAAAAACTCCCGAAAAGAAATATAATAGAAGAAGTTGAAAACTTCCAAAATATAAATAGAATAGAAGCAGTTCAATAATAATCTTTCTTTAGATAAATTCCAAAAATTTCTTGGAATATTCATACTCACCATACATAATTCAAGACTATCTCAGAAGACTATTGGTCAACCGATTCTTTGCTTGAATTGTGTGCAGTGAAATCAGAAATATCCCCGGAATGAATTTGAACGAATCAAGTCATCTCTAAAATTTTCAATGAATGGTGATGAAGATCATAATGACAGAGTTTGGTGGGCTCGAAAAATGTTGGATATATTTAGAAAAAAAATCAGACAATTTGGTTTTTTTTTCGACAGTCCTCCGGTTGATAATATGGTGGTGAAAAATTTTGGGAAAAATTCTTTGAAACAATGCACTAGATCTAGGTCTATAAGGTTCAGTATAAAAATGTGGGCCTTATGTAGTGCTGTTGGATACATATTTGATTGTGATATATATTGTGGAAAAAAATCGAACGCATCCAATTTACTACCTAACTGTTCTTTGAGAAGTAGAGTTGTACTTCAAATGATGAAAGAGTTACTCTCTAAAGTTCTTCGGAATAAATACTTTCTATATAATATTTAGTTTGATAATCTGTAAACTAGTCTAGACTTTCTAGTCCACATGAAATGAATTAGTGTAGATCGTCTTGTAGTTAGGACACTAGACAGAGAATCAAAATTTAAAAATTCGAATTTTCACGTTAATAACCGATGCCTTTTATTAATATTATTTTTTATGAGGAAGCTCTTTGCCAATAAATTGGCAGCGGTTTTTTTTTATAATAAAGGATTCAACTGTTTGCATTGCAAGAAATGAATCATCAGAAACTTCTTCATCACAAGGCTCGATGAAATCTCTCAACTCCTTCAAACTTTTCGATTGCTTTACTCGATCTAGGAATGATTTCCCTGGTACTTTTTTCTCCTTCTTCGTCGTCATCATTAGATAATTCCTCATTCAATTTCTGATTTAAATTATCAGCAATTGCTTCTTGCTCGCTTAATACTACAAATGTTGATATATTATCATCAGCAGAAACATATTCTTCCCAACCCCAATTTTCATCAATTTCTTTAGGAGGATTAATATAACCTCCTCCGTTTATTCCGGCTTTCTCACAAATCAAGCTTAACTCGCTGTGAGCTCAAGAGAAGCCTTCCACGTCTCAAGTGCAACAATTCACAGAAGATAAGTGTAGATAAATAAAATCATCTTCGAACCGACTACTCAATTTCATTGTAAAGACTTTGTAACAGCACGTTTGAATTAATATAATCAAGCTTCGCGTTGACAACTCAAATCATTGCACAGAATTTCGACATATACTCATAGTAAAAATCAATTATAATATCAGTGCACTCAACTACTTATAATTGTTATCAACATTTTAAACATTGACTCAGTTTTGACTATTCAAGAGTGATTTAAGTGATTAATA